TTTAATAGCGTTTTTTGTATACACACAAGTCGTCGTTTGTAAAATATTAATGTTGAGAATCAACTTAAATATTTCAATATATTAGCATAATCTAAAAAAATTATGATTTCAAGACTTTGGTAGAAAACTTAAGTACTCGTTTAAAGAAGTACTTATTAAGTTGCTTTTAACAACATTTATATCATCCGAGTCTCTAAAACGCATATGCCCAAATTTTTCTCCGCATATAAATTTATCTAATTTTGTACCATTATATTTTGAATTCTTGGAAGCATTTGATCAACTTAAAATAATTTGTGGAAAAGCAACATTTATCTCTTTTTATTTTTTCATTTGCTATCTTAGATTCTTTAACTGAACCTTGTAATTTCAAAATACATTGATTCTTGAATTCCACAACTGGGTCTATTGGGTACTAGTTATTGACCTGTAAATCGATTTACTCATACTTAACAAAATTATCATTATATCCAATTTGTGGGTTTGATTCATCGTAATTTTGAGATGTAATGAATAATTTCAATAGCACAAAAACTTAGCATGAACATGGCGTTAGTTCATTTCCTTGACTATCGCTATATCCAGCTTCTATTACGATCCAAGAACATGCATAGGTCATATAGGAGTCGAAAAGGTCAAAATTCAATATTTAAAAGAATCATAAATCTGACCTTGAAGTTGAAATCGATGTTGACCTAAATGAGAACGACTGTGGTGGAATTCTTGAGCGTTTCGCAGACGTTACGGAACATTACGGTAGCTCTGAAACATTTCTCCATCGAGGTTATTCTCTTCTTTTATAAAAAAAAAAAAAACAAACTTGAATTTGGAAAATGCAGATTTTTTGTTTGTTTTAGTTTCATGATTCAGAATTGATATGAACGATGAATATGAAGCTGTAGAATTTGGAACGACATTTGAAAAGCGTGTAAAATTTAATGAATATGAAAGTAATGTGTTGAAACTTGAAAGGGAAAACGGAAGAGTTAATTTTTTTTTGTGTTGAATTTTTTAGGAAAATAGCATTTGTAATTATTTTTCAAAGTTGATGTGTCATGAGAGGGGGTGCTGATGTGTCACCCATTTTTTAGTGTAAACTCAACTATTATATATATATGATGTAGAAATAGGAAAATATATATCACGGAGATATATCGCGTTGAGTGTATCAATTTATATAAACAAAAAAAAAAACACAAATTTATTCCGTTGAAAGATAATTTTAGCGATTAAAACGTGATTGGTGGTTAATTATAGGACTGGATAATTATCATTAAATAATTGAACATTTTACTACCGAGAAGAAAAATAAATAAAAAGAAAAATTTTCCCTCCTTCTAATATTTTCATTTCCCCTCTCCATTTTATCATTTTTGCCCTCACTTGGTTCAAATTTAGGGTTCTGAATTTTGTTTCCTCAATTAGATTTCGCTTCGTCTCCTCTGGTCGTGCACTTGGAGCTTCTGGGTATGTTGATGGCTTCTGCGTTTATCTCCCCTCTTTTCTTCTAGGGTTTAGTTTCTCCCTCTTCGCATTTTTTTGCCTCGTTTTGATCGGAGCTTCCACATGCATTCACTTTCGATCCGTGCTTTCGATTTGCTAAACATGTATGTATAGTCTCTGGAGGAGATTTAGTGTTTTTAGACCATAAGATTTTGATTTCCTGCGTTTCCCCCCCCCCACCATTGATTTTGTGTTTCCGGGAAGACCAATCGTCCGTACAATTTCGTTTATCTGAGTATTTAGTTCTAAGCGATTCGGTGTCATCTACTAGGTTTGATTTCGATTGTAGTGATTTTCACTGGGTACTTGGTTTATGAATCTCGTCTAAGTTTATTTCTTTGTTTCTGGGTTTGCAGGCTTATATTCCCCCAGTCGAGACTCTCAAGCCTATTGGATTTGTTTATGTGATGAAGGATGTGTGTTGTTCACAAATCTCACAGTTTTGGTCTCTGAAATGGTAAGCACTAAGTAGAGTTTTACTTACACTGAGTTTTAGAGTGATGGATTAGGACAAGGAATCGATAGGTTTTAACAATGTCAGTTCACTGGATTTTTTGTATGCAGGGACTATGAGTTGTTGTTTCCTTGACTGGTTTGTGTATTGGAGACTTAGCTGATTGGGGAGGTTTTAGGTTTTAAGAGGTTTATTGTTACGATGGAATGCAATAGAGAAGAGGCTGTAAGGGCCAAAAATTTAGCAGAAGAAAAGATGAAGTCTGGTGATTTTGTTGGAGCTCATAAATTTCTTACAAAGGCTCAAAGGCTCTTCCCCAATCTCGAAAACATGCAGCAGTTGATAGCAATATGTGATGTGCATTCTTCTGCAGATGAGAAAATCATGGGGCTTGACAACTGGTACGGTATCCTTCAGGTTAAACCTTTTGCAGATGCGGACACAATCAAGAAACAGTACAAAAGGCTCGCGCTGCTTCTCCATCCGGACAAGAACAAGTTTGCTGGTGCAGAGGCTGCTTTCAAGTTGGTTGGGGAAGCAAAAAGGTTGCTCTCTGATATCATAAAACGTTCTCAGTATGATGTCAGATACAGATCCCATTCAATGCTTGCTAGCAGGCAGTCAAATGGAAACTCTGGTCGTCACTGTGCAGCTGCAAAAAATGTTGTGGAGAATGTCGCTGGTCTTTTCTCGTTTTGGTCATGTTGCAAGAACTGTGGCGGTAGGTCTAAGTACTTGGTACGTTATATGAACACAGTTATGCACTGTCCCTTTTGCCAGAAAGGTTACATGGTCTGCAGCATCGATAGCGATGGGGTGCCACCTAGTAGCTCAACCACTTGTAAAAAAGAATTTCAATATCAAGGGATGTATAATATGTTTCGGCAGAATGCTTCTACAGGAGCAGAATCAGGAAGTTCAGCAGCTGAGATGGATAAGAATGGGACAGTCAAAGGAAAACTCAACAAGAAGGATCAAGAAAATCAGAAAAAATGTGTTGGTGACAGGAAACCCAAGAAAGAAGAGGGTTGTACAGAGAGCGATGCTGAAGGAGGAAAACCCCACAAGGAAGAGACAGGTACGAATAATTCTGCTGAAGTACCTAAAGCTGATATATTGAAGCCGCGCCTTGAAGTAAAAGAACCAGAGACTAGTGCAGCAAATTCGATTCCTGATTTATCAGCTCCAAAGAAGAATCTGGCTGCCAAAAAGAGGAGAAAAGCTGGTGAAAAATCCTCTAAGAGTTTTGAGGTTGATGGCTCCGATGTGGCTGGGGATAAAACAGATACAAATGAATATAATAAGAGGAAGTCGTCGAGGAAAAAGCCGCAGGTTTCTTACACAGAGGGAGGAGACGATAATGATTTTCTAAGCCCTCNAACAAAAAAGACAAAAATAGGCTGTGAATTTGAGTCTGATTCTAGCACAAAGCAAATGGCTGAGGATAGTAAGTCACCTGAACTTGCTGATTCTGGTGCGTCTCTTGCTTCTTCAAATGCGTCTAAAGGAAAAGCCAAGAAAAATGCAAATTCTGGAAACGAAGACAAATTGTCAGCCAAAAACAAAGAGAGTGAAGGCTGTGATGCTAATGAAGAAGATGCAGATTTGTTGAGCAAGATTGACAAAGTTGAAAATGGATACAAAGCTAATGGAAATCCTAATACGCTGGATAAACCTGATTCAGAGTTTAATGTGTTTGAAGATGAACGGAAAACAGGAAAATTTGCTGTCAATCAAGTGTGGTCTACCTGTGATTCTAGAGATGGTATGCCACGGAGATATGCTCGGGTAAAGAAAGTGCTGACTGGCGAGTTCAAACTGCGGATTACTTACCTTGAGCCTGTACGGGATAAGAATGATAAAACTATTACAGTTGCTTGGGGAAAGTTCAAAAATGGGGAAACAAAGGAAGTTAAAGACCACTCAAGCTTTTCTGGTCAGATGCTTTACTTGTCACGCAACAAGGCTGTTTTCATATATCCAAAGAAAGGAGAAATTTGGGCTATGTTCAGAGATTGGAATGAGGAATGGAACGCTACTCTAGAAAAACATAAATTACCATATAAGTATGACTTTGTGGAAGTTGTGAGTGATTTTGACGATGACAATGGTGTTGGAGTGGCCTATTTGGGAAAAATTAAAGGGTTTGTTTCCCTATTTCACCGGCAGGCGCTGCATGGAGTTTGTCAGCTTCAGCTTACTCCAAAAGAGATGCGTAAATTTTCCCACAAAGTTCCAGCAGTCAAAATGACTGGAAAGGAGAAAGAATGTGTCCCAGCTAGCTCATATGAACTGGACCCTGCTGCATTGCCAAAAGATATATTTCAGGATGATGCGGTTGATATGGAGATGGATAGTGAGACCCTGAGAGGTAAAGCTGATGGCTCTGAAGCTTCCAAGGTCAAAGAGAAGGCTGAGCCTGTTCAAGAGATCCCTCCATCTCCAAGGAAGCGTCGAAAATCTGATGATGACAGCGTATGCAGTAATCATGACAAGGTCTGTACAAGAGCTGTGTCGCTTGGGAAAGTCAAAGATGGATCCAGCAGAACCAATGATTTTTCTTCTTGTCAAGGTAATGAAAAGAACACACCAAACAAGTCCAGAAAGGTTGGTGAGGCGTCAGATTCCTTCAAACTGCGAAAATCTCCTCGTCTTCAATCAACTCCAAGCCAACAAATAGATGAGAAGAAAAGTGCTAAACGAGGCGATAAGATGATTACCCCAAAGAAAACTACTGATAACGGTCTTGTGACAGATTCTGTGAGAGTCAGAAAGTCACCCAACGGCATACAGCAACAGGCAGCGAGTGATGTAGGAGAAAGCTTGAAGAAACAAGGACGCAATGGTGAATTACTGTCTCTGTCCAAGCAGAATGATTTGCCAACTCAGTTGAATGGTTCTACTAATGAGTCCCCTGAGACAACTCTTGTGTCACCAAGTTGCAAGACACCGCGAAGAAACGCCTTTGACTTTAAGAGCCTGAAATCTGAAGACAAATTCAAAGTTAAGCAGATATGGGCTGTTTATAGCAATGTCAAGGGGATGCCAACTGAGTATGTGAAGATCAAGAAAATCGAAACCAAGCCTGAATTCGTTCTACACGTAACCCATATGGAGCTGTATCCACCATCTACAGAACCCGTAACTCGCCCTGTGTCCTGTGGGGATTTCAAGTTGAAAACCGGAAAACCCAAAATCCTTCGTCGAGGCAGCTTCTCACATCAGGTTGATCCGGTTGACATTAAGAAGAACATAGTCAAAGTATACCCAAGGAAAGGTGAGATATGGACTCTTTATAAGAAGTGTGATAGCACCGAAGGAGAGCATGACATTGTAGAAGTGGTGGAGGATTACTGTGACAACAGGGAGATCGCAAAGGCGGTGGCTTTGACTGCTAAAAGCAATTCACTATACATAATTCAGAGGGGACAAGGGTCAAATGCGGTGTTTATAGACATTCCAAAGGTGGAAATGAGTAGTAGATTTTCTCATCGGATTCCGGCTAAGAGGCACGAGAAGAGGACAACAAGGCTAGGTGAAGGAGTATACTGGGAGCTTGATCCGATAGCAATTCCAGGTCGCACTATAGTCTTAGACTGAGCACACTTCTATGTTCCATCAATTCGTAAGTATGCATCATATTTCTTTCATCTGAGATTATGTGTAGATATGCGTAATGCAAGAGTAGAGACTCTATTAGTTGCTTTAGTCTGGTAATTGTCGAGAAAAGTATCACATTATTATTATTCACGTTTGTGGGCTATAAACTTATGACTGGAGAACATTGTTTGCAGACACTGTTTCTCTGTTATTTTCTTGTCGTTCTTTTTTTTCTGTGCAACGGAGAATCTATCTTTTTAGTTCATCGCAAATTGACTGTAACGTTTCATAACCTTTTATAAATTTGCTCCATACTCTTTTAAAATCGCTTACAAACGCTCAAATCTGTTTGTAATACTTTCCTGAAAATTCGTTTTTCACAACTGATGACTATACATCTACTGAATTTTGACAATCGGAAAAAACAAGCCTTTTACTATTTTATGTTATAAAAATCTCAAATCATGTGTAACAATACTTGTGTTCAGTTGAAAACTCCGAAGTAGTATTAGAGATCAAAAAACATAAACCAGTCACTAAAGCAACCAAAAGCTTGAAAGTTGTTATCTATCTACACATACAAACACTGAACTATTCCAACTTCGGTTTTGATTTGCAAGAAGAAGATGATAGTCTTGACGATAAAGGAAAAACAATCTCAGAAATGTTCTGGAAACTTCCCCTATCATACAAATTCCGTTTCACTATAGCTTCAGCTTTAGCCTCTGCCTCTTCATGAGCAGAGGATCTTCCACAAAGCCCTAAGCATTTGCTTTTCGCTAATGGCTTCTTCGATTCACATGGCATTCCCGCCTTCAGGGCAGCAGCATTTGCCTTTGCTTCAGTGAGCCTCTTCTTCAAGCTTATATACTCTCTCCACTTAAATGTCTATCGATAAACAAACAAAACCGCAAAACTGTTGTTAGCGGGG